TATCTCCTAGGCTTAGAGACCCAGTACTGTGAGAATTCTGAAGGAATGGTGGTCTCACTACTCCTTCTGGCTCCACTATGACTAGGGAATTCTTTGGTATGCTCTCAATTTAGCTGCTCCTTCACTTATCCTTTCTCCAAATAGCTTTCCCTAGAGGAGTAAGGATTGTAGCGTAAGTGAGTTCTAATAGCCCATGATTTGACTGAGATACTCCTTCCCTCTCTCTATAATTGACACCTAGAAACAAAGACCTGCTACCATCAGCTCCTCTCTCAACAAATGCACAGCTGCAGTTCAAAGCTGATTTCTAGAAAGCAAGGGCTCCTTCTGAGAACTCACTCAACAGCAGTTGTGCATGCAATGATAACTCTGTCTTTAAATTTCCTTTTGACCCCCTCCCCCACCCAGACCTAGTACCTACCCCCTCCTTCCTGCGGCCTCCTGGATTTCAGTGGAACAACAGTTCCTCCTAGTGTGCAGTGCCATTAGGACTGAGTCTTCAGTGGGAGCTGGGCTGCAAGGTATGCATGGAATTAGGAGGGAAATTAAAGAATCATGGATCATAGAATTAGAGCTATATAGCTGAAAGGACCCTTAGAGATCAACTTCCTCATTTTACAGATAGAAAAACTGATGACCAGTGGGGTCAAGTGACTTGCCTTAAGTCACACAGATAGAAAACGGCAATGTGGGATTTGAAGTCAGTCTTCTGACTCCAATTTGTTTGTTTTTGAATTGATATTCGATCAATTCTTCCCTCTGGTCCTACTGTTATCTAGGCCTTAAAGCCACAAGAGTAAATTTAAGTCCTCCTACTTCCCTGAAGTTTGTCTTTACTTGTACTTCCATGATCCAGGATCACCTTACAAAAGAGGATACAATATCCAGGATGTTAACCACCCAAGGATGGGCTTCTCATAAATAGAAGCAAAATTGCCTGTTTCCATCTCCATGGAATGGGGCAGCTAGGTAGTGCAGTGAATAGAGCACTGGGCTTGGAAACAGGAAGACTAACTATCATGAGTTCAAATTTGGCCTCAGACATTTACTAGTTATGTGACCCTGGGCAAGTCACTTAACCCTGCTTCCCTCATTTTCCTCATCTGTAAAATGAGCTGGAGGAGAAAACAGCAAATCATTCCAGTAATTTTGCCAAGAAAATCCCAAATCGGGTCATGGACAGTTGGATACTGAACAACAACATACTCTTTGCCTTTACATTCTCTCCTCTTATTCTTTTCTAAACTCTCTGCTGTCTGGATTCCAGTCTCACCATTCAGCTGAAACTGTTCTTCCCAAAGTTATCAGTGACCTTTCAATGATCAAATCTAATGGCCTTTCTTAGGCTCTCTCCTGAGCATCTTGCACCAACGATAGTCTGTTCATCATTTCTAACTAGATGTCCCAAAGGCATCTCAAACTGAACATTTCTAAAACAGCTATCATTCTCTCTCCCTCTACCACCCCTGCACCCCCCTCCAACCCAACACTTCTTCTAAATGTCCTTACTTCCAAGATATCACTGTCCTGGTCACTCAGCATTGCAATCTTCAAGTTACCCTTAAACTCTTCTCTCTGGCTCACCCCGCATATCTGATGAATTATCAGATCTCATCATTTCTACTTAAAACTCTCCCATCTCTGTACTGTTCTCTCTCTTCACACTACTTCAGTCCTCACACATTGCTGCATGACTACAATAACCTAATTTGTTTCCCTGTCTCACGTTTCTTCCCTCTCCAATCTGTCCTCCATACCACCACCAAAATGATTTTCCGAAGCATGTTTCTGTATCCATCTCCCCCAACACACACACACACACACACACACACACACACACACACACACACACACACAATACCTCTAATTGTTCTCTATTACTTCCAGGGACAAATATAAATTCTCTATTTTGTCTTTTAAATCCTGGTCCCATCCTACCTTTCCACCTTTATTACCCACTACTCCCTTCTACACATCCTTTCTTCACCTCTGTTCATGTAATCCCCAGATGTCCTTTAAGATTCATCTCAAGAACCACCTTTTCCTACTGAACTTTGCATCTGCTATCTTGCCTGAAACAAGATGACCCTCCCAGAATAAGCTCATCACTTCTAATCTCACCTCCATGCTGCTAACTCAAGCCTTCATTGACTCCACCTCCCTCAGTTTCCTCTCTGTTTGGAGGTCCAGAGGGCAGAGTACCAAACTCCTCCCAGTGCCTTCCTTTATAGAGGGCAAATACTGGACTCCCATATCACTCCACTTTGCATCTGCTGCTCTGCCTGATTTAAATTGTACAGTACAAAATGTCCCCTCTTGTGTCCTATTGCCCCCTCCTCAGCTTTCCTGATTCCTTTTTTGTGTTGTCTTCCCCTTTAGATTATAAGCTCTTTGAGGGCAGGGACTGTCTTTCTTGTATCCCAGCACTTAGCAAAGTGCTTGGCATCGCATAGATGCTTAATAAATGTTTATTGGATTGGATTTTTCAAACAGGGGAAAGGGGGAGAAAGAACAGGTATTTATTAAGTGCCTAGTACATACCAGGCTCTGTGCTAAGCCCCATATTATCCTATTTGATCCTCACCACAACCCTGGTAAGTAGGTGCTAGTATAATACCCATTTTACACTTTAGGAAACTGAGGGAGAGAGAAGTTAAGTGACTTGCCCAAGATCACATAGCCAGTAGGTGTCTGAGATGGGATTTGAACTTAGGTCTTCCTGACTCCAGTTCAGGTGCTCTATCTACTGTGCCATCTAACTACTTTAGTTGGAAAAGAACACTGATAACTCATTGAAGGATATTAGAGACGAATGTCTGTAGCAAACTCTGCTTAATCACTTTTTTTTTTCAATCTTGGAGGAGCAGCTAACAACCATTGACCTCTGAGAGCCAGAGCTTCCGGTCATCTGGGCCAAGTTTGCATCACCTACATTTTTCCCTGTGACAATATGGCTGTCAACATCCCATATCCCTCCAGCCCTGTGGAAGTTCTCATATTCTCTTTCAAATCATCTATACTGGAAATACTCATACATAGTCAGTCTGAGCTGGACAACATCACCAAGCTGAAGGTTCCCTCACAGCCTTCTATGGGAAAGGAAGTCCAGAGGATTCCAAGAAATCTTAGGACAGTCTTTGCCTCTACCAACAACTTCTGTATCAGAGTAACACATTCAGATGGAGATGCCTAGCAGGCTATTGGCAATGCAGCACTGGAGCTTAGGGGCAAGATGGAGTGGAGATAGAGATTTATAGTCACCTTCATAAAGGTGTCTAAGGACCCTTAGAGTTTACCCACCTGTAGTCTTGACCCAATCAGAGACTTCAGAGTGTTTGGAATCACTAAGGAACAAGGTGAAGAGAGAAAAAGAAAGAGATTTGAGCTATCATGAAGGACATCGAGAAGAAAACATTCAGATGAAGGTGGATCAGAAGACTATGGTGTCACCACAGTCAAAGGAGGGTAGCAGTTGGAGAATTCAATATCCTTGTCAAATGTTATAAAAAGGTCAAAGTAGAAGAGATGGAGATTTGATGTCACTGGTTATCTTGAAGAATGAGCTTTCCAGAAAATTGTTGGGTCAGAAGCAGAAGTGTGCTGGAGCTGGCTGGACAGCTAGAAAAAACTTACTGTTAAATTTTTAGTGTGAGCCTTTAAACCTTAGAATTTGGTGAACACTGCAGCTCAGACTGGATTTATGGTTTTATTGGCAGTCTAGATTTGAGCAAGTGATGGAGAAAATGTTAACAATGAAGATTAAATTGATAAGTGTGTAGGTGCATACTTTTCTCCCCAGGGAGTTAATTATTAAACATTTACCAGTCGTTGTTTGCTAGAACATACTTCAAAATCTGAGAGTTTTAGGGAAAAAAAAACCTTATTAGGTCTTTTGTTAGAGGAGAACAAGCCAGAAGGGGGGGGGGGTTCCTCTCATCCAAGCTGTGGAAGGTTTACATTATATATGATTTAGACAAGGGTATCCAAACATGATCCACATATACACAATAAAGCAATTTTCCCAAAAGGGTAATGTGACCAAAACACAAGCTTGGATGCATCATCGCAAGTCCTGGGTTTGCCAAAAGAGGAATGATTTGGTTGGATCCAGAACTTGGGGGAACCCAGAATGCCCTGTAGCCATCTCCAGTATCCCTAGAGAGTTACTGGAGTCAAGAGACATTCTGGGTGTGGACAACCTTTAATTGCATGCAGTTGGATTTAGACAATGTAATTTTTCCCAAACAATATAATAAATCATGTTTTCCTACTCAGCACACACCTGGTTGGAAGCCAGGTTGCAGTGGTTCATGGACTGAGTAGATTGTAAGGAAGTAGGAAGTAGGTGCAGGGAATATGGTTGTTGATGTTCAGTCCTTTCAGTCACATCCCACTCTTTGTGACCCCATTTGGGATTTTCTTGGCAAAGATGCTAGAGTTGCTTGCCATTTCCTTCTCCAATTCATTTTATGATGAGGAAACTGAGGTGACTAGTTTCTAAAAGTTGAAGAGTAAGTAGGAAAAGAGATTTAAAATACAAACTTGAAAGGAGATCAGAATAAAGGAAAAGTTTTGTTTGTTTTTAATTAGGTATCCACCGTTATCTATGCAGAGTAAGAGGATCTTTCAAGTTCATCTAGTCAACCTTCCCTATTTTACAGATGTGGAAGCTGAGAGAGAAGTGATTTTCCCAAGGCCACACAAGTACATCGAGCCAAGACTCAAAACACAGGTCCTCTTGTCCAGAAACCAGTGATCTTGTTGCTACAGGATCCCATTCACATCAGCCGTTGTAATTCCCATGGTTAGAGAACAAACTAACAGCAGACCTTATAAATCAATCCCTTGTGGCCTTGTCTAGACTGCTTTCCATAGCACCTAATTACTTCCTGGGAGATCTGATAAAAGTGGGTTCATGAGCTTGTGAAAAGCTGAGAATGACAATGATCCACCTGAGATGACCTCCTTTCCCCATCCCACCCCCATCTCGGGGTTCTGACTCACAAGGAATGACTGTTGGCCCCTCTCACCTCCTGCTCTGCCTGTGGTGTGGCTGGGGGAAGTTTGTGCACAGAGAAAGCGTGACTTTGGAGCACTGTGCTATAACTGCTGGCACAGAAGTAGACAGCTGTGTCCACGGGCTGCAGAGTTTCGATTTGAAGGTTCAGTTGGGCCTTGTCCAGACGTTTAGGTCTGAAATGATTGGAGTTAGTAAAGTTCTCAAAGAGCTCATTATTATTCCAAGAAAACATGGCCTGGAATCCTTTGTCATCCTGCCGATACCAGTACATATAGTCATGATTCAAATTCTGTTTACATCTCAGGGTAGCCTTCTGTCCTTTCTCTTTGACTAAGAGTTTTGGGATCTGGGTGACTCCAGCATCCATAGAACCTGGAAAGGAAGAAGAGAGAAGATGGGAGACAGAACTTGGGAATGAGTTTGATGCTACCTGCCACCACTGCAGAAGAATTCAGAATCTAGCCTGACAAATTCTTTCCTAATGCCCAGGACTCACCTATCCCCAGGAGAAAAATGGCCATGCAGCAGTGGAAATTGGTGCTCATGACTGGGATAGGAATAAGATGTCTCACCATCCCTAGGCTTTGATCTCTAAGGTATGGGAGGGTAAGAGTCAACCTGGGGTTCTTGGTGGGAGAGGTACCCACCCCTATTTGGTGTCAATATGTGATGTCACTATTTCCAGCCATTGTAAAGACACTTGTGTTCCACTTCAGACATGTACTAATTTTATGACCCTGGTCAAGTCATCTATCCTCTGTCTCAGTTTCCTCATCTAGAAAGTGAGGAAATAATTAGCCCTACCGCCCAAAGTTGTTGTGAGGTTCAAATGAGATATTTGTGAAGTGCTTTGAAAACCTTAGAGCATTATATAAATGCTCGCTGTTATTATTAAGGCTTTTTTCAGTTATAGTGAGCCAAAATTTGCATCTTTCTAGCTTTTCCTTATTGTTTCTGTTCTCTAGGGCCAAGCAAACAAATTTGATCTCTCTTCTGCACGATAATCATTCACATCTTTGAAGACAGCTCTTGCTCACTCCCTAAGCCTCTTCTTCACGCTAAATATCAGTCTTGTCTATGGCATGGCATGCCATCTGCATTTGGATGTGCCCCAACTTGTCGATTTTCCTCCTTAAATGTGAGGCCCAGAACCTGAAACAATACTCTAGATGCAATCTGACTAGAGCAGAGCATAGTGGGTTTATAATTCCATTTGCCTCTGCATTATATGTTTTAATATTGAGACTGAAACTGAGCACAAAGCATGGAGGAAAAAATGTGACTCAACATGCAAATAGTGGAAAAAGAACTGGATTTGGAATCAGATTTGACTTCCGTTCTACTATTTATTACCTGCTGTGACTCTAGACACATCTCTGTGTCTTTGTTTTCTCATCTGTATAATGTAGTGATAGGACTTTCAGGGACAGGGTGGTCCAGTGGAAAGAGTGGTAGATTTGAAATGAAATGACTACCATACAAATTTACTTGGGTGATCTTGGGTAAGTCGGTTCTCCCTGGGCATAAGTTTTATTTTTGTTTCATCAATGGAGTGAAGAGGTTGGGTTATATGACCTTTAATTTCCCTTCCAGCTCAAAATCTACAATTCTTTGTACATTAATTTACATATTAATTCATTTAATCTTACAATGATTCTGTGAGGTAAGGCTATCCTTACTCCCACTTTACAGAGGAGCACAATGAGGCCTAGAGGGGGTAAATGATTTATTTGCCCAGGGTCACACAGCTAGTAAATGTCTGAGGCAGGATTTGAAATGAGGTTGCCTGACTCCAAGCCCCACCCTCCACCTAGAGTCTTTTCCCCAGATGTCACACTGACCAGCCTCTCTCCCTCAATTGGTGACTTAGAAGATCATAGAAAGTTCCATAAAAGATCCAGATATATATACAAAAAAACTACATATTTATTGTACAACTCATATTTAACTCCATATAAAAAAATACTTTGAAAAAACATGGAGTTCTGGACAGAAACTGGCTGGGAGTCAGGTGAACCTGGGTTCAAATCCCACCTCTGTTACGTGTTGGATGTGTGATCCTGTACAACTCATATGACAACTCTCAGTGCCCCTGTACATCTCTTTATTGCAGAAAAATAAACAGTCTGCATTGGTGGAGGGAGCTTCATTACTGGAAGTTCCCTATACCAACAAAATCATGGGTCCAAACCAAAAAGATACAATTAAGTATGACAGTGTGCTTACCTGTGAGGCCTCTACCCCCTCTTACCCTGCCCAGGTACCACACAGCTTGAGGTTGGTCTCTGCACCCAGTGCCTGAATTAACCTCAGCCTTCATTTCCCACCCCTGATGTTTCCCATGTGGAACCATGGGAGGTTTTAGCTCAGAGAGGAGGTGTTTCTACTTCCCTGTGGATACACTGCTGGCGCAGAAATACACAGCTGAGTCCATGAGCTCCTTAGGCTGGATTTCTATTCTGAAGATTAAGCTTTCCTCAGGTAGAGCTGAAAATCGAGACTTGGGCATCCCTGAATCATCTACCTTTTGATCATTCTGCAAGTCAATCAAAAATTTAAGCTCTTCCCCCAGGAACTGGCAGTACCAAAAAACATAGGAGTGTCCTTTAATTGGATTACATCTAAACACCGCATTCTGCCCTTTCTCTATAATTAGAAGTGTTGGAGTCAGGATGACTCCAGCATCCAAGAGGCCTGTGAGGGAAAAAGAATGAAAACATGAGTCAAAACCTGACCTGGAAGATGCTATCGCTATCATAAGAAAAAGCTTGGGAGGGGGTAGGCTGGCAAGCACAGGACAGCATTTGCATGTGTATCTGGCCCTCCCCAGTTCCTAGCAGACAAATGGAGACAGAACAGAGGAGCCTGGCATTCACGGCCATCCTAAGAACGGAACTGAGGTGTCTCTCAGTTTGGAGCCCTCCTTGGTACAAGTGGTTCATAACTTGCCTATGCCGATTCCACTTCCTCATTCAGAAGCTCCTCTAGGAGAAAATTGAGTCCTCTAAAAGAATGACTCAGTGCTACCTACATGTATGGGCAGGGTGGTGTTTAATCATCATCTGGGCTAGGGGAATCTTAACCCCTTTGATGGTCTAGTGAAGCCTATGGGCCCCTTCTCAAAATAACAAATGCATGTTGTAGAAGGCCTCTGAGGTCCATTCCAGATTTATGGTCCTATTATCTTAAGTATCTTTCTACTCCTTTTTTGCTAGTTTCTGTATTCAACAAATAGGGCATAGGTTACTATTTCTCCCCCACTCCTCTCTCCCATCCCCATTCCAGGGATAAGCAACAAATTTAATCAAGGGTCTTAAGTATTTTAATTTTCACTTTATTTTTTAAAATGACTATAGTGTTTTTAATACAACTCAGAGAGTGTGCATTGAGTGCTTACTGAATATAAAGCACTATACTAGACACCAGGGATACAAAGGCAGAACTCAAACAGATTTCAACACATTCTGTTAGGGGGCAAATCATGTACACAGATAAGCAAATGAATACTTCTGTCCTATTGCTGTCCTGCTTTGTAAATGCAACACAAATACATTCACATAATTAAATTACACACAAAAAATGATATGTTAGTACCATGCTATCCACTACCCCATACATCTTCAAAGTATCTCTTTATGTGGGGAGGGGAGTAAATACAGGTTATACAATAAATGTGTTCATTTGTGTTTAGAGCATATATTGAAGAACCTAGTCTTGGCTCCTTGTGGTCATTCAGTCATTTTTCAATCATATCCAACTCTTTGCAATGCCATTTGGAGTTTTCTTGGTAAAGATGCTGGAGTGGTTTGCCATTTCCTTCTCCAGCTCATTTTACAGATGAGAAAACTAAGGCATTTAGGGTTAAGTGACTTGCCCAGAGTCACACATCTAGTAAGGCCAGATTTGAACTCAGCAATTTGAATCTTCCTGACTCTGGGCCAAGCACTCTACCCACTGTACCACGTAGCTGCCTGGATCCCCTTAAGTCATTGGCTGGTCTCTCAGAAACTGAAGAAGAGAGCATGATTAGTGTGGCATACAGAGAAAAAGCTGGCTAGAGTGTTAGACTTGGAATAAGACACACCTGAATGTGAATCCTGCTTCAGTCATTTACTAGCTGTGTGACCCTGGGAAAGACCCCGGAATAAAAAAATAGCATCTATTATAAAAATAAATCACAGATTTGTTTTAAGAATCAAATGAATTTGGAGTGTTCCAGCCTTGCAACTGGCAGAGAAATACTCAGGAGAGTATGCTGAAGTTCAGTTGACAGACTTTGTGCCCTTTAGCTATGATTAGATTAGCAGTAGCTCTTCTGCTTCAAAATATTTTAATGTAAACATAAAACAGCATTTAGAGATCCTGCCCTAGTACCTGACAGGACCAGAACAAACCTAAGTATCCTGAGATGGAGATGACATCTCAGTCTCACTGTGGCCTTTCCTATGTCTGAGCCCAAGTGTAACAGGCTCTAAGTTACTGTAGCATCTGGGGGGCCTCTGAGAGATGAAGAAGAAATCTGGGACACAGACTCTAGGAAGGAGTCTGATGTTATAACTATCAAGGTAGCCAGAAGACAGACCTTCCACCTGTGCTCTCAGCTTGCCTGCTCCTAAGAGACAAATGGCCCCACAGAACAAGAACCTTGTGCTGTAGCAGGGCTGCGCAAATGGGACCCTCCTCCCCGCCCCCAACTCTGGTCCTCTAGGCTGAGAGTTAAAATGATATGGGGCTCAAGTTCCTAATAGATGGAGTGAACCTGTTATGTCTCTTTTCTCACTGACTCCTTCAGATTCAAAGTATTCTCTGACCAGGCTAGGCTCATTTCCTCTCCTCTTCTTTCCTATACTCTATAGAGCCTTTTATAAATTAGGTGAGAATTCATGGGTCAGGCAGTCTCCTTGTGGTTGTGGGTTTCTCCCCTCCTCCCTCCCTGACCTCCAGTAGCTTCACAGGTCTGGTGATAATTACTGTTTCTGTAATGTCCTGTCTACTTGGGAAGGGAAAACAACAACCCTGCCTTTTCTTTCAATATATAGATGCAGCATAGGGTAAGCCTTTAGGAAAGAAGGGAACAATATGGAAGTGATGAATTCTGTAAACAATCCCATTTTTAAAGGTTTTGCATTTTCCCTTTCTCCATTCATACCTTATCACCAGCTCCTGCCTGAGGATGATTAATTTCTGTGGAACCACAGTACCCCCTAGTGACCAATGAGAAAGAGTCACCAGGACTCGTCTTCTGGGAAGAGCTAGACAACAAGGTATATAGGGTACATCTGGTATAGTGGGAATAGCTCTGTGGTTTCTTACCTGTGTGACTTTTAAGTAAATCATTTAATCTCTCTAGGTCTCAGTTTCCTCATCTGTAATATAGAGAGGAGGCTGTTGGGTGAGATGGTTCCTAAGGGCACTTTCAGTTCAAAATCTATGATTGTAAATTAGAAATTAGACTGAGCAAAGACCTAATAAAAGGTCTTTCATCCCCCAATTTATTTTCCCTGTGCCCACCAAGTAACCAACATTTTAACCCATTTGTGTACTTCTGTTACCTGTGTGTCTTTCCGATTTTTGTCTTAAATGTAAAGAAGCCAAGAGTTAGCTAGAGAGAAACTACAACAACA